TAACGCTTTACGATCTTTACAAATCAGTAATACAACAACGACACAAAACAAATAATAAATATCAATAAGAAAACAAAACAGAAACACAAAACGCCAGCAACACAAAACATGCAAGGAAATTGATCATTTTTGTCCACTGACATTATGAACAAAAAGTTGAATTAATCAAAAGAGCCACAAAAGCGCACCTCAATTTTTTGCAGAAACATCGTCTACAATCCGCAAAATTAAAAAAAAAAAAATCATAGCGCGATATGGTCCGATAATTACCTATATGTCCAACTATATACCACAAATATTCACATTTTGGGGACTTTGAACAAAAAAAATTATTTAAAATATTAAATCACTTTTTTGCTGCAATACTTATATCTGAAAAATAGTTCAATACCTGAAATTGAAGGCTCCATACTCAGATTTAGATTTCACTTGAAAATTTTTTAACGAAAAAACACTTTGATTAACTTGAAATATCAATTTTACAGCGGGCGCAAGCGAATAGAGAATGAAAGTGTAAATTCAAAAACACAATGCAGCTGCACTATACAACTTAGCGCCGTTATTTTTTCGGTTAGTGATGCAGAATTATGGCTAGTTTCTATAGTTATTAAGTATTCGAGTGTTATTTCAAAATAAATTTTTTAATTAATCTACACTTTCGATACCCAATACCCCAGTGTGCGGCGGTGCGAACAATTCTTAGAATTTTTGCTGCTTCTTGGTGAATGTTGCACCGGGCAGCAAAATTGTCCCAGTCCGCGGCTTCTGTCTTGAATTCGCTGATGTGCTTATTCTGAATTTGATTTCCGTAAGAAATGATACTTGTTAGGATCGGGAAGTGATCACTTCCATGCAAGGAGTCTACTACACGCCAGGTGCATTGCGGTGCTAGGGCAGCAGAACAGAAGGTGAGGTCGATGCAGGTGAAGGTGTTGTGGGTTGAGAAATGCGTGGCGGTGCCGTCATTTAGACAAATTAGATTAGAAGCCAGTAACATGTCTTCAACTATTGTCCCTCTTTGATTGGAGTGGGTATCGCCCCAGATTGTGCTCCGTGCGTTGAAGTCCCCTCCTATGATGCAGTTTGTGTTAACCTGTCTTAGCAAGCGCATTAGTTCAGCGGCAGTGAAAACTTGCGTTGGGGGGATGTAGATACAAATGACAGCGAATTTTTGTGTTGTGCTTATCTCTATTGCTACCGCGGAAAAATCGGAACGTATGGGTATTACTCTGTGTGGTATATTTCTCTTAACTAGAATAGCGTTTCCTTGTTTCTTGTTGGTTATTTGCATGTGATTGTGGAAGTAGCCTGCATAGTTTTTGGGTGTATAGGTAGGCTGATTGTAGGGTATGTGAGTTTCATTTAGGAGTAGAATAGAGGGGGAGAAGGAGTTGATGATGATTTCTAGTTGGTGGTAGTTGTTCGTGTACCCATTCATGTTCCATTGTAGAATTGACGTCATATTACTTGAAAAGTTTTAAATGGTTTGTGTTTATGTTGAATAATCTTTCTGTGCTAGTGTTTATTTTTTTGCTGGGAAAGTGTGTTTTTATAAGTTTCGGGGGTAATGAGGACATTTAATTCGGGATACTTGGCATATATTTGGCTGCACGGTGACATTTCGATGTCACTAACTGTAGGGGATGCACAAGGAGTCCGAAGGATTCGATCCGTTGAAGGGACGCTGTTTTTGGATGTGGATGCGTGGTTGTTCTTATGCGGAAGTTTTGGAGAAGAAGTTGTTGGTTTGGAGTTGCTTTTGGCTGTTGATGCTGTTTGGCTAGTTTTGGTAGTTTCCTTAATGGTTGAAGAGTTCAATTTGCTATTCGTTGTATGCGTGTTTGCTGGGTTATTGCTAGTGAGTTGTTGCTTATTGTTTACGTCGGAAGNTTTGCTGGGTTATTGCTGGTGAGTTGTTGCTTGTTGTTTACGTCGGAAAATTTATTGAATTGTGTGTTTGTTTGCTTTAACGGTGTCATCGTCTCATTGTTCTGCGCGTTGGTCGGTATTGTCGATGTTATGTTTGCGTGGCTGGCAATCATCTGTGCCATGGTTGGTGTTGTTTTTTTATTATAATGCTGAATGGTATATGCCGTTGGGTTGCTGTTGTATAATTTCCATGCTTGCCGAGCTGTGCACCTATGTTGAATTTTGGCTTTGTTGACCGCTTTATGCTTAAGGAACGTAGGACATGCAGAGTCAAACGAGGTGTGGGTTTCGTTGGTACAGTTTACACAGTAGCTACGTGTGCATAAGTCATGCGGAGGGGGAAAAGCGCACGTTCTGCATACTTCTGAGTTGCGACACCATTTTTTGGTATGTCCTAGTTTCTGGCAAATATTACATCGCATGGGATTTGGTATATATTCCTGTACTTTGACTCTCTCCCAGCCTATCTTTAGGTAATCAGGTCTACGTATGAGATCAAATGTTACAATTGCAGCACCAGTTGGTATCAGCTTTTCATCGGTTTTCTTCATGATTTTTCTTATGCTGATTACTTTCTCGGAGGCTAATTCTTTTGTTAGTTCTTCTTCAGATATGTCTATGATGTTTCTTGAGAAAATCCTACCTTGAGTGGAATTCAGTCCAACATGGGCTGTGATTTTTACTGGAACACAGTCAACGCGCATGGCTTTCAGAAATGTCTGTGCAGCCTTCAGATTGTTTGCCTTGAGAAGGAGATCGCCGGATTTTAGCGGGGTTACTTCTGTATAGTCACGGGATATGGCTTTGAGACCCTTCTCGATTTGGAAAACGTTGTAGGAAGCAATCGGTCGGTTTTGTTCTGCAGAATTGGCTATTGCGGTGATTACCAGAAAACGTGGTATATGGTCATCATTTTGGTGGGTCTCTGGGAGTAGAGGAAAGTCAGTCGATCGCAATCTTTTGTTTTTGAAAATCGGTGTGTCGAGGTAATGATCAGGGTCCAGGTCCATAAACCTGTTGGTGTTGGGGGGGTCGACCCCGTTCATATTTGAGAGTGTGCGCACTTTCAGTGCTTAGCAACTGAACTGGTTTGTAAAATTGTTGTATTAGTTTATTGTTTTTGAACTTTTGTTGGAGTGCGTTTACGCGAAAAGTTAGGAGTGTGCAGAGCTTCGCTTTGCACGACAAAAAAAAGAAAACTAACACAAAGGCTGCGAGCAAAAGTAGTAATTAAGAAATCGCGACGGTCAACGTTGGTGTTTACGCGGCGATTGCCTGAATGATACTGATATTTAGATTTATTAATTTAAATGGTGAAACATGTTTTATAAATTGATATGACTTCTATTATAAATTATAGAATTGGAGAAGCTTGGCTAAACACTTAGCTAAAAGTACAAGTTGTAGGCATTCGAGTACTCATCATTTGATTTCGACAGAATATTCGGGATAGGAATAAATAAATATTTATTTTCTTTATTCCATACATAATTCTATTTTATTCTTCTAGAGTTGAACCACTTTTTTTTAATTCAACAAGAGCAGTAAGAAGGTATTTCACTTTAAGTTGGTCGGAGCTAATTTTAGAGAACATCATCCAAGATTTTCGTAAACAGAAAATGCATCACTCAGAGCATTATTATTAAGCTAAAGAAAAACAAAAGCGTAAATGTGTATACGTTTTGCAATAAAATTGAGTTATTTTATAATTTAAGTATACTTTTTCTTTTATTCGGTGTGATATACATATTTATGCAGCAATATATGTGATATATTTTGCAATGCAATTAAAATGCTAATCTAGGGTGCAGTACAAATATGAAGCTCTTGAAATATAAAGTGCTCAAATTTTCACGAGACTTTCACCTTGCTATGTACCTAAAATAAATAAATTTACATCAAACAAATTTATACATTTGGGAAATAAATTACTTTTATCTTTTTTTATCTTTTGACATAAGCAAATTGCTTGGAAATGTAAATTCACCCCGATGCACTAAACGAAACTATTCTAATAAATTCTACAGTTTATTTCATTAGTGTTGAAAAGCAACCGTGCGTTTAAGAAATTTTGTGCTACCAAAAATTTCTCCTCTGGAAACTTTATCCCCATAAAGGACTTCACCACAGTTTTTTACTGGTTATACTGAGGCAACACCCTCTTCAAATATATGTGCTTCCTTGTTCCTAAAATTGGACTGGGGTTCCTCAATTCTTCAGGCGTGAGATAGGTTTTAAAAATAGTTAGAGATTAAAATATAATATAAATGACTTGTTGGTTGAGTGGAGGTCTATTGAATTTCATTTCCTTGAACATGAAAATAATGCTATTGTGCACATGGATATCGATTTTGGATAAATAATATTAATTAAATATGAGGAATCTCAATAATGAAACAATATTGTTCAGTATTGCCTCAAGCTAATGCAGGTGCAGAACGTATATTTTCTATTGTAACCGATGCTCGTACAAAAAAGGAAAATAATCAGTCACGATAATCTCAGTTCAATCACATAATACGGTCTTTTCTACAAAACTTGTTGCACTTGTTTTAATTGTAATGAAAGCCATTTAAGAAAACTTAATTATAAAGATATATGTATATAATATATGCAGCATACCAAATGGCACACAATTTTTTGTTTCATTTCGATGTATGAAAAATATATGTAGGGAAAAATTATATTTCCTTAGGGACAACTAGGGATTTTCTTGATATGCTGTTAGGATTTTTAAAAAAATTTATTGGCATCCTTTCTTTTGATTGTCTGGCTTATAATGCACTGGGCGGAACGTAACCAATCGTAAGGATGTGTTGATTTTAGGTTTCCCGCTCGTTACCTTCCGCCCCTCAATTATAGCCATTCCCCGTCATTTCACACAATAGATAGTTAAGTGAACACAAAAGCCGAGATACGGAAGACGAATTAAATGATCCAGCTACCTGGCCGCATAGGGAAATTGTATGGCTTACCTAACAAATTTAAGGACAACAACACAAAGTCAAAAAACATGGAAAACGCATAATAAATAACAAAGTAATATATCATGTATTGCTCATCTTTTTCAGTTGTTACACGGACAATCTTCACGTCAAATAAGGAAAAATAATGGTAGATACATGAGCGCTATTTCATGCACGTACAATGGCTGAAATTAATTTCCTCGTTTTTAAGGTAAATAAGTACTAAATAAATATGATCGTTATTTTAAAGATCATATATAATTCTTGTTAGATTAATGGCACCGATATAAGTCAAATGCCGGAAGATAAAGTGGTTCAAATGTTCCTTACTGCTGGCGAACCGTTGCTAGTAGAAATGCAGCGCAAATCAAGCATAACTCCAAACTGTAGTGCGCTCGAAACTACTGCCAATTCAGATTATAGTGAAAAGGACTGCAAAGACGTAAATGCTAAAATGGCTGGAATGGCAATTGCTACAACTCTTAAACCGAAAACAGGAGAATCAGTGAAATTTGATGCAGATTTAACCTCAACAGTAAAGTTGGTTGTAGCCATAAAAACTTCGGAAGCGACAGCGACGATAGAAAGTGCTTCACGAGATAGTAAATCGACTCAAACTGATAATAATTATTTTATCTATGACAACTCGAAGGATAGAGCTGAGCATTATATTGAGCATGAGCACAATTTACTGGAACATTGTTTGGCACCTGAAATCGATATCGAAGTGAGTGTACTGTTGCGCTGTGGTTAAATTTCTTAATTTTACTTAACGACTATCGTACTTTTTGTAGGAAATAACATTGAGAAAGTCAGACAGCAATGAACGCTTGGGACTAATTGTTTGCTATAATGGTTGTGCTAACAATGGTGCCTTGTCTAATTCTGATGACAATGATGCGTGCACTGAGGTATACATCAGTGGTATTCAACCTGACAGTGTGGCTGGACGTGATGGTCGCTTGCGTCAAGGAGATCAAATACTACAAATAAATGGAAAATATATAAAAAACAAGGAAGAAACCGAACTACTCATTGCCGAAAATAATAACGCTGTAACTCTGCTCGTTAGCCGATATCTTTTCACGGTAAGTTGTAAATATGTATGTTATTCACATTGTTTAGCGAGTTTACTTGGGATGATTTTGCAATCTCTCACAAGATCTCTCATTGAATCTCACCTCTATCACAAGAAATATGTACATATATACCAAGGTTCTCAAGGTACTACGGCGAAGCGTCATTCAAAACAAATGTAAGAAGGTAATGTAAGATCGTAGCTACGTTACGAAAAACGAAAATCGACATGCTGCAACCCTTGCGGAAAAATGTGCAGCATTGCCAGGTATCAGTTGTTTTTCGAACTCAGCTGTATGAAGGAAAACAAAGTGGAAAGGAATTAAAAAAAACACTCATCATGTGCTCGTTTATAGTAAAATTGATTAATTTTAAATATTTTGAGGAAAATTATGGATTCTGATGTATTTCCAGTTATAGCAGCGGAGTAAGAGCGCGCTATGGCAATGGACTCACATAGGTATGCGGAGCTGCCGGGCATGGTAACCATGGGCGCATCTATGTCAGCTTCTGGTTGCATTGTTCAACCACAAGCCAGAACTCCTATGCCTGCAGAACTGGTTCCCAATCCAGTTAGGTAGATTGTGGATCCAGTTAATACAATAACAGCTTCTTCCAAGCCATTGAAAACATGCATTTTGTTAGGTCCACCACCTGTTGCGCTTGCTTCTGCCTTCGGCCACGCTTAGGGATTATAACTCTTACTAAGTAGAATTCTCCTTTCTGTTGCCGGAGAAGAGGGGCTTGTGCATGTCAAGGGTATACAATATTTCTTGTGCATATCACAGTATTTTTGCCCCGAACCCACATCGAAATTTGCAAAAAAGTGAGTAGTGCAAACCGAATTTATTAATAATTTGAAACATATATTTTAAATAAAGGTTTAATCCTTTGATTACACGTGTATGTTAAAGTTTTCGGATTCGGGTTATGCGTTTGGACACAACAACCGAAAATCATTGTAAAAATAATTAAACCGGACACAAGTTTCGCGATAATGGGCAATAAAGATTCTTTTTAGCTCGTTTATATAAAGCAGTGGATAAAAATATACGTATATGCGAAAGGCAAATTAATCTGTTTAAATAAACACCACTAATATTTCCTGCAAACACATCGATTTACATCTTTTATCTCGCCTCCGACACAGAATTGTTTTCGTACAAAATTACGCAAAAAAGCTTACTCGTTCGTTTTTAGGCATGCCATTGTTACGAATTTCGAAAGTTCGAAGATACGATTCGGATTGCAGCATACCATTCCTACGATTCCTAGAAAAATCCGAATGCAAAAGTTTTGCAGAATAGGGGTGATTGTCAAGTTTCGCACTGTAAGAGTATATAATATACCTTCGATACCGATTTTGGCGGGATAGTGCTGATTTTGAGGAAATTGTCCCGCTAATATTTTATTAAAGTCGGGATGTATAACTCAATATAAGGGAGCCATAAACATATCCAGCATCCTTATTTTCTATGATCTTTGGTTATGTTTTTTTCTGTCAAACTAGTACCCTCGCTATATTGCAGTCTATCATTATTTTCTTAAATTTTTAAAGGTTTTTGAAGTTATTTGCTACGTTTTTTTTTAATGAAACGATTCTAACATGAATTTAATGAAATCATAAAAAATAATACTAATTACCTCAAACAATGACTGATATGAAAAATATTGGCTTTAGATTCAGTGGGAAATATAAATAGGTAAGAGACATTTTAGCATGCTTTGGCTAATCCCCTTTCGATTATTTAATGTTTATTATTTTATATTAAAAATGTAGCTTGTTATCTAACAATTACTACGTTTATACGCACGTATTATTTGCAAATAACAATTTGCAAACTGGTAAACTTTGCCGTATACACGCTGAGTTAATTTTTTTATTTGCAAATAACTAAATCACGCAAATAAGTATTGATTAGTGGTACTACTTGCAAATAAGCGCAAGAAGCCGCCATTATTAGGTTTATTTTCTTTTTCGATGGTCATATTGTTGCCTTTTTATAATCAGGCAATATTAAAAAAGAATTTTTCACCATCGAATAAACAGGGAGCTAGGTATTTGCAAATAGTTTACGTATAAACGTAGTAAATTACCATGTAGTCGAATTTCGACGAAAGTTTCATAAATTTTTCTACATTCTTAATTAGATTTCTGAGTATGTTGTATGTTGAGTTGTTGTAAACTAGGCATAAGGCGATTCGTGTTTATACCATGAGTGGCAGAGTTATGGGTCTTAAGGCATGACCTCTCAGGACACGATCTTATAAATAGTTAGCGGAATAAAAGACATTTGATATTTGATAGCTAGAAGGCCGGACGTGTTTTAATAACCACTTAGCCTTCTGAATATTTCAGTACACAGATATCGCCTCCACCAGGAAATGTCCCCAGCGAGCAATGGTGTGGGTTTGATTTACGAACTTTAAAGAAACAGGCTGGAGCCTAAAACGGCAGCGACATTACTTTTTATAAAATATAATACTCAAGTTTTTAAATTCAAGTACTATATAAAATAAAGGTTATTAAAAATTCATTTTTATTTTACCTAATTTATTTCTTAAAAAATACTTGACATCCGCCTCCATAGATGTTAGCTTTTAGACATCCGCATCCGCATTTGAATCCACGGATGTCTAAAACTCCACATTAGCAACATTCCTAATCCATGCGTATGAGCATACATATCACCAGTTTGCTGGAACGAGAAAGCCCAAAATATCAAATCTGCAAGAAAACGGCTTTGACCCGACCCTAAGATGAGCAAAATGCGCCTAAGTAAGCCCATTTTGAGTTTCAGCATCCAAATCTTCCACGGTTATTGAGACATTCGATCTGAAAATCCGTGACCTCTTGCGGGAATGCTTTTTGAGCATGATACCTGAAAATCGTTTAGCTTAGTCGCAATTGGTAGAATAAAAATTTATTTTTATCGGAACAAGATCGAAAATTTTCCATTTTATCAAAGTGGTATCCGTAGTTTCTAATTGCATGTTGGTATCTTAACTTGTAAAAAACGTGCTACAACAACAACCCACGGAATTTGCATGCTGATGCTGAAAAATTTGGGTCCTGCGTCAGCCACTCAACGCTACTAGAAGGTATAGAGGCCTCTCTCTCACAGGGACCTAAACGCCGAATTATCTGAGTGGTCGACACTCGTCATTAATCTTTAGAGACAATTCGATCAAACCTAGGAAAATAAAACAGGGGGTTCCCCAGGGTGGTGTTCTTTCCCCACTACTGTTCAACTTTTATATCTCTAAGCTCCTTCAACCACCAGAGGGAGTCTCGATTGTCTCTTATGCTGACAATTGTTCGATAATGGCGTCTGGAAATGGAATTGATGATTTGTGCTCGAAAGTAAACGGTTATCTCGACGAGCTTTCTAGCTTCTTCACTGCACGGAGCCTAACCTCTCCCTTACAAAATCCTCAGCAACGCTTTTCACCACTTGGACGAAGGAGGCCAGACTGCAACTGGGTATTCACGTCGATGACGAACCAATTCCTCAAGTCGCTAGCCGACAGCACCTGGGGCAAAGACAAAAAAACGTTGTTGGCAACGCCTGTGTGGTCGCCGGGAACTAGTAGTTCGCAGTGCATGAAGCTGCAGACCTGCCAAAGCACGGCACTCAGGACAGCGACAGGATGCCTTCTGATGTCGCCGCAACATCACCTGCACGACGAGGCTCACATGCTCCCGATTGAGGAGCATAACACAATGCTCTGCAAGCAATTCCTAGTAGGGTGTCACCGTCGTGGGCACCCGAACACACATCTGCTTGCGGAAGAACTCGCGCCACGACACGTCAGAAGGCATCTATATGAACTGCCGGACGAAGTCCAGAGGTTCATAGAACAACCTTACCGACAGGCCTTGATCGGCATTCACAGAGTCTCCAGTTATATAGACTCTCGACCTATGAATGCCGTCCTAGGCACACAACCACCAGACATTGATGGGACAGAGCTTCGTCTGCCTCGAGAGACTCTGACCACAATAGCCCAACTTCGCTCTGGCTACTGCAGCAGGTTAGAACTAATACCAGAGCAGAATAAATGCAGATGCGCCAAATGAATGCCCGGCATGCGGAGAGACACCCCATGGCTTGCAGCATCTCTCCGCATGCCCACTGAACCCCACCCTGCCAACGCCTCTGTCCTTATGGACAGACCCATCGAGGTTGCACGCTTCCTGGGTCTACCGCTAGTAGAGCTTAACGACAACGATTGAGGAACCTACCGATCTGGGCGGGGTTGTTGTAGCCGCTACAACAACAACAATAACAACGACAAGCGTCCCAAAATCTTAGAACGAGTGGCTATAAAATGGTTTACTACGAATTTAGATGTTATGGCTATGAACTCGTGCTATTTGTAGGCCTCGTATCCTACAAGGAATGCCAAATTGGTAATCGTACATAGTAAGAGGCTCACTTTCTACATTCCCATTTTATATATTAACCTTCTAATATACCTATCTTAAACTATATACTAACATGAACGAACGTATGAAAACAAAGGCGTTAGCTCTGTCGGGTCGGTCGACCCCATTGAGCCTGCACGCTTCTTGGGGCTTCCGTTAGTTGAGCTCGACGACAACAACTGAGATATTAACCGATCTGGACGGGGTTGTTGTAGCCGCTACAACAACAACAACGTATGAAAACAAATCGACACGTGCCTGTATAAAAACGGTATAATAATTCAAATCTGTCCCAGTAGGTTAAGTTAGCCAAAGTGTTGCCTGTTCTAAGTGTTTCCTCAGGGGGTTTGCCCTGAATTAAAATAAATAATACAAAAACAAATGCTAAAAATGTACTTTCAAGATCTTATTTAGAGGACAAAGCTGCCATCAAAACTTATTTTAGTTCCTTCAGTTTACCAAAGAGTGATTGTTTTCGTGATAATTATTAATTGTGTTAATTATTAAGCAAAGTGGAAATGAGGCAATTTGTAAGAGATTTAAGCCACAATCAACAAACAATATGGCGCCTTAATTGTTTTA